TTGGTAGCCCAGGCTGGCCTCGAACTCACAGAGATCCGCCTGCCTCTGCCTCCCAAGTGCTGGGACTAAAGGCGTGCGCCACCACCGCCCGGCTAAGAAACTTTTTTTATTCATTTTACGTACCAACCACAGATCGCCCTCTCTTCCCTCCTCCCGCTCTGCCCCCTAGCTTTTCCCTCCCACCCCCAGCCCTATTCCCTCCTCCAAAAGGGTAAGGGCTCTCAAGGGGAGTCAGCAAAGCCTGGTACATTGAGTTAAGACAGGACCAAGCCCCTCCCCACTGCAGCAAGGCTGAGCAAGGCGTCCCACCATAGGTAATGGACTCCAGAAAGCCAGCTCATGCACCAGGGATAGATCCTGATCCCACTGCCAGGGGCCCCTCAAACAGATCAAGCTACACAACTGTCTCACTTATGCAGAGGGCCTAGTCCAGTCCCATGCAGGTTCCACAGCTGGCCAGACATTTCTTACAGTGCTGTTATTGTATAAAATTATCTGATTGCCTAGACAGATGTCATGTAGTGAAAGCATAGAATTAGATTTTAAAAATCTTTGCTAGTTTTAGGTATATAGTGGCACCTTGGGTTGATTTCATTTTTATTTCCTTAATAGATTGAAAGGTGGTATACCATGTGATTTAGCTTTCAATTCTATTGTTTTGTTTTAATATGCCAAATTATGAATTAGTTCCTGCTGATAGTTTCTTTATTTTCAGTCTCAAATAGTTTCTCTAAACATAAGCCTTTGGTTTTCTCTCATACCATAGTAGTTACTTTCTTTTAGTCCAAGGATAAAATATATACCTGTCTTTTGAAAATTAGTGAACATGTCTTCTCATAGAAATTCCAATCTTGACTTAATAACCTGTGAAATCTTAGGCAAATTATTTAATGTCTCCAAACCTTGATTTTCAAATCTATAAGTTAAGAAACAAAATAATGTATACCTCTTAGGGATATAGTGAGGATTAAATAAAAAATACATATAAATAGTTTTAAGTAGCATCTGGCACACAGGAACACTTGTGCAAGTAGTTGTAAAGGGAATGCTCAATAAATAATTGCTAAGAGAGAATGAACAAACTAAGAGATGATCGTGGAAGACTATCTGGGTAAAGAATTTCTTATTTATTGATTGCCTACTAGGTACTGTTCATTGTGCTAGGTTCAGCATGGATATGATACTTTTGATATGAAACTATGATACTTTTGAGTGTGTGTGTGTGTGTCTGGTAGAGATAAGGTCTTACTATCAAAAGGCTGGCTTTGAACTCCCTATGTAAAGGCTGGTCTTGAACTGATAATTCTGCCTCCACCTCCCAAGTGCCTGAATCATAATAAGTATGTGCCACTACACTCGGATAGACAACTTTGTGTATAGAAGGAACAATCTGAATTGAGATTCAGGAATAGACTGTAGGCAGGAGAGTAATAGGTGATTAGATTAGACAGCTATTGAGTCCTGGGACAGGGTGATTATAACTTGGTCCTGTTCATATGCTAGTAATCCATCTGATAATAAATATGTTTAAAACCCTTAGTGATATGTGGACATCTCTTTTGGTTGCAGAGTTTTGGGGAAGCATTGCCAAGGAGTTTTATTGGAAAACCCCATGCCCTGGCCCATTCCTCCAGTACAACTTCGATGTGACTAAAGGGAAAATATTCACTGAGTGGATGAAAGGAGCAACCACGAACATCTGCTACAATGTGCTGGATCGAAATGTCCATGAGAAAAAACTTGGAGATAAAGTTGCTTTTTACTGGTAAAATATAGTCTATGAGAGACAAAAATCTCATATTCATATAGTGTTTCATAATTCACAGTGTGCCTTATTTTTATATTGAAAATTATTAAAATTAACTAATCAATCAGTGTGGGTGGATGAGAGAACCAACTTCTGAAAGTTGTCCTCTGACCTTCACACTGTGGGTCCTAGGGATTGAACTCAGATCATCAGACTTGGAGACAAATGCCTTTTACCTGCTGATCTTGCTACTCCCAATCCCTACCTCCAGATTTTTTTGAGATAGAGGTCTAACTGTGAAATCCTGGTTGGTCTGGTATTTGCTATGTAATGAAAACTGGTGCCTCCTAACCGATGGAATTACAGTTGTATGTCATCCACACTGGATTGTCACAAAGTACTTTAAATCCACAAACTTACTTGATCCGTACACCAACAAAGAAAAGTAAGCCAAGTATCATTAATTTGATATTTCGGTAAGGAAAAGTACATCAAGGGAGTTAAATTATTTTCTTCAGATCACATAACTTCTGGTAACCTAGTCAAAAGAAAATCAAGTGGCCCTCCTGTTCTTGGTTTATGGTTGGAGATGAGGAGAATGGGTTTATAGAAGAGAACAGGACTAGGTTGCTTTTTCTTCATTCTTGCTTTGGGACCAAAAAATGAGTGTTAAGTTTTGTCACCAGCTCTATCATTGTTATCATTACCTTTTATTGAGTTAAAGGTTGGATACTGTGTTTAGGAGCTTAAAAAATATCTTATTTGATGCTCACAGTAACTACAAAAGCCACTACACCTGGCAAGATTTCTTTCTTTCTTTTTCTTTTTGATTTTTCGAGACAGTTTCTCTGTGTAGCTCTGGCTGTCCTGGAACTCACTATGTAGACCAGGCTGGCCTCAAACTCAGAGATCTGCCTGCCTCTGCCTCCTGAGTACAGGGATTAAAGATGTGCGCCACCACTGCCCCAGCAACCTGGCAAGATTTCTTTTTCAAGATGTATGTTTTAGCCGGGGCGGTGGTGGCACACGCCTTTAATCCCAGCACTTGGGAGGCAGAGGCAGGCGGATCTTTGTGAGTTCAAGGCCAGCCTGGTCTACAGAGGGAGATCCAGGACAGGCACCAGAACTACACAGGGAAACCCTGTCTTGACAAACCAAAAGAAAGAAAGAAAAACAAAAACAAAAAAACCAAACAAAACAAAATATATGCTTTATTTTTTATTTTTATTTTATTTTTTTTGGTTTTTCGAGATAGGGTTTCTCTGTTTTGGTGCCTGTCCTGGAGCTTGCTCTGTAGACCAGGCTGGCCTTGAACTTACAGAAATCCACCTGGCTCTGCCTACTGAGTGCTGGGATTTAAAGGTGTGTGCCACCACCACCTGGCTTCTTTGAGCCTTTCTTACAATGTATTTGATCATCTTCAATTCCAACTTCTCCCCTAGTTCCTCCCAGACCCCTCACATGCCTACCCCCACAAAACGTGTCTGCATTGGATTCCCAATGTATGTTTGTTAACACTTGCTCTAAGAAACAGTGTTCAATGGAACACCAATTTGGGAAGCGCTGAGTTAAGTAATCTCCAAAGTTACTTCCAATGCAAAATTCTGTTAACTCTGTGATAAGAATTATTACCTGGCTTTTACATGATACTTGTTCAACAAGAATTTTTAAAGATACTAGGTACCAGAGGGAGACAGCTCAGTGGTTAAGAAAGCATACTGCTCTTGCAGAAGACTCAGTTCCCTGAGCCCACATTGGGCAGTTTAAACCACCTATAATTCTGGCTCCAGGGAATCCTTTTGTAGATGCCACAGGCACCTGCACTCACATGCACCTGCACACACACACACACACACACACACACACACACACACACACCCTCCTAAATGCTTAAGGTAAGTTCCTTGTCTGTGTATCCTGCATAATGGGCGTTAACAGCTTAGATGCAAGATTGTAAAACATCGGTAGTGAACTTCTGCCCTCCGGGGTTCTCCCATTGTGCTGTAAGCCTGTATTTAAGACCTCCTCCCTCCTTCAATAAATGGCATTCGGCATTATAAAAAAATAAATAAATAACTGAGGAGCCCCCATGGAACTGGATCAGGCCCTCTGGATAAGTGAGACAGTTGATTAGCTTGAACTGTTTAGGAGGCCCCCAAGCAGTGGGACCAGGACCTGTCCTTGGTGCATGAGCTGGCTTTTTGGAACCTAGGGCCTATGCTGAGACACTTTGCTCAGCCTTGGTATAAGGAGGAGGGGACTGGACCTACCTCAACTGAATCTACCAGGCTGGGCTGACTCCCCAGGGGAGACCTTGCCTTGGAGAAAGTGGAAATGGGGGGCAGGTTGGGGGGAAGGCTGGGGGGTCGGAGGAGGAAGGACAGGGGAATCTGTGGCTGATATGTAAAATTAAATTAATTATAAAATAAAAGTATTTTTTAAAAAAGATATTGAATACTCAGCCTCAGTATTAGGTATTATAAATTCTGGAGTAGAGAATGGGAAAAAGTATCAAATGAACAATTAATTTTCAATTCTTTTATGTTTATAGTAAACTATGAATGGACTGCATTTGTTACACTAAAACAAAGTGCAAATATGCTATGCTGGAAATATAGCTGCTTCCCTTCCTTGAGCCCATATCTGTAAATATACTTACACTGCTTCCTCTTCCTTCTCTTTCTTCCTCCTCTTCCTCTTTCTCTACTGCTGCTGCTGCTTTTTGTGGCACTGGGTTAAATTTAGGACTTTTGCACATGCTAAGCAACTGCTCTACCACAGAGCTACACTCCCAGTCCCCTTCTACTTGTCTTTAGAGGAGAGATTGGCTTCCTGTTATTGTAGATGAGAATTTAAATCTCAAACGCCCCTTTAACTTCTCCCTTTCATTAAACATAATTTTAAAACTAAATTCAAGCTTTGTAAGAGTAGCGTAGTAAGTGTATTAAAATGGATCTTCTCTAGGGTTTCACATATCTCAGGTTAGCCTCAGGAACTATGTAGCCAAGGATGACCATGAAATTCTGATCCTCTGCCTCTACCTCCCTCTACTGAGTACTGGAATTATAGATCTATACTACCATGCCCAGTTTATGCTGGAGACTTTTGTATGGCAGGAAAGCATTTTACCAATGGAGCTATATCCCAGCCTTTGCATTTTCTTTCATGTACAATTTTTTTGTTTTCTCTGGAGTCATCAATTATCTACCATCTTTTTCTTGTACTATCATATACTCAGAATGACCCAAACTTTCTTACATGTATATTCTAAGACTTTCTTTCTCTGCCCCCAAGTCTTCTCTGTTAGGATCCGCCTTTTTTTATTGCTGCTTAAAAAATTTTTTTTAATGATATTTTTTTCTGGCCGTACTGGGATTTGAACCCAGGGCCTTGTGATATATATATATATATATATCTCAAGAGGGTCTTTACTATGTAGCCCAGGCTATTGTGGAACTCATTATGTAACTCAGTTTGGTCTCAAACTCATGGCAGTCCTCCTGCCTCAGCCCAGATACTGAGATTACAGGCATGAGTCATCATATCTGGCAAGCTTTCTTATCACTTTCTTCTCAGCTTAGTGTCATTTAGATGAATGCAGTATTATTAGCATACCACATTTACAGTTAATTTCTCATCTTGGGACGTGTGTGTGTGTGTGTGTGTGTGTGTGTGTGTGTGTGTGTGTGTACAGAAGTAATTCACAAGGAAAATAGCACTCTTAAGAGCATACTCTAGTTAGCTAAAACAAAACCACCACAAGGAAGAATTTGGCATTTTACTTTGGCTTGGCACATAATAAATGTTTATGGAATTATGTTATTTTTAGAACTCTATGTGACTGTTAGAGTCCATATAGGTCAACTTTCTTTATAGATTAACAGATCTAAGATTAGCTAGAGAGGGAAAGTGATTTCTCTCAGGGTTATATACCTGTTTGAAGATAAAATGGAGACTAATCTCCAGATAGTTTTATTCCTGGTCAACTATTCCTTTCTTTAATATTATACTGCCTCATTCAAGGAGTCCAACACTAGGCTATGGCAGATAAAAAGAGAAATTGCCATGTTAGTCAAATTAATTTATTTTCAAATTGAAATTTAAAAAACAGATAAGGTTTGTTAAATCCGGTTTTATGGGGTTTACATTCTATTTGGGAAGACCAAATAGGTATTTAAAATTGCTGCCACCAAAAAGCAAACAAAAAATTAAACAGCAGCCACTCAGGAGGTAGAGGCAGAAAGATCAGGAGTTCAATGTCAGATATGGCCACATAGAGAGTTTGAAGTCAACCTGGGCTACATGAGACCCTATCCCCAAAAACCCAGAGAAAAAATAAAATATACATAAATAAAAATACAACAAAAATAAAATATACAAAATAGCTTTTATATTATGGAATTGTCAACTGAATAAGATTAAATACGGTAACAAACTCATGTGTTCAATATCCTGGTATGGTGAAAGGGCTTAATAGATATTGATCACTATTACTGTAGTTTTGGACAGTAAGTCTCGCCAAGTGGTCAGCTCTGAAATCATATACATACAAGCAACACTAAGCAGACTTAGCAGGTTGTATTTACATATTTATTCACATATGTAAAATAGTAATCATTTTTTAAAAAGAGACTGAATTTGAGAGGGAGTGAAGAGGGGGGTAGGGGAGGGGGTTGGAGGGAGGAATGATATAATTATACTCTAATTTTTTAAAATTGCAAAAAATAAAAATAATTTGGATTAGAAACAAAACAGAACACACCAATCTCTTTAGAATAAAAGGCTTGTGCAAGGAACAATTTATTTATTCAACCAATACTTGTTGAGAACTTACTGTATACCAGGCATTGTGCTGCACAAAACACAACATTCTTTTTTTTTTAATGCAGTGTGAAGAGACAGAGAGTGAACAAACAAAATAAGACAAAGAGGGTTGAGGAAACAGCTCAGTGAGTAGAGGGCTTTCTTTACAAGGACTGAGTCCGATCCTCAGAACACACAAGCTTGCAGACACATAAACAAATAGAGCAGGCAGTGATAAATGTTATATAAAAATGCAGATCACCGGGAAAGGGAAGGACAACACACAGTGGGACTGATAAGGGAAGATCCTTTGATAGGGTGACATCATTTGGGCCGAGATTTGAAAGAAATGATGCAGATAATTGGAGTAGGGAAGAGAAATGTTCCAGATAGATCGAGAAGCAAGTGTGTCCTGATGCTTGGTGTGTCTGAAGATCGGTAAGTTAGTATAGCTCAAGCCATGTAAGACAAGGGGCAGGGGAAGTGCTGAGGTCCACAGGCTGCTAGGTCATTTAGAACCATGGAAGCTCATGTAGATTGTGGCTTTTTTTTTGGGGGGGGGGGGGTTTCAAGACAGGGTTTCTCTGTGTAGCTTTGCGCCTTTCCTGGAACTCGCTTTGGAGACCAGGCTGGCCTCAAACTCACAGAGATCCGCCTGGCTCTGCCTCCCAAGTGCTGGGATTAAAGGCATGTGCCACCACCGCCCGGCTAGCATTTTCTTTCTTTCTTTTTTTTATTTATTTTTATTTTTATTTTTATATTGTGGCTTTTTATGCATAGTGAAATGGGAATGCACTAGACAATCTTGAGCAATGGCATGAAAACTTGGATTATACTTAGGACCTGTATGTTAAATTGAGAATAAAAAGTAGAAAGTGTGAGACCAATTACAAGGTTGAAACCTAGGTGAGCCATGATGATTTACGTAATAGTGGCAGTTGTGAAGGTGGTTAAAAGTGCTCAAAATCTAGATCTATTTTGAATCAAGAGTGCATGGAATTTGCCATCATGGAAGGTTCTACATGGTCTAGCAGCTGCTGGCCTTAACACTTCTTTAATAGTGGATAAGGCTCAGGAATAGAAGATCAGTACTCTTGAGATTTGTTAGAAGATTCTTAAAAAGAAGAATGATGTGGCCACAGCTAGATTAAAAAAAAGGTTAATCTGGAGCTGGGAAAGGTGTCACACACCCTCACATTTGAGAGGTGGAAGAAGGAGCATCAGGAGTTCAAGGCCAGCCTCAGCTACATTGCAAGTTTGAGGCAAGCCTAGTTATTTGAGAATCTATCTCAAAAGTAAAAAAACAAAAAACAAACAGAAAAATGGGTATGGAAGCAGGAGTGTGTATCCAGAGAACTGACAGTTTATTATTCAGGGGAGAGATGCCTGAACTGGGTGCTGTTGATGGGTAGGCAATACCAAAATTGTTGGGCTTTGGTGACTGGAGACATTTCTGGAGTCACCTAGAGATGGAATTCTAGTACATATAATGAAAATATCAGTCATCAACCATTCTTCACACTTTCTTCTCATAAACCTTATTTAGCTAGGGCTGGTCTCAAACTTGATGTGTAGCCAAGGGTGGTCCTGAGCCACTATATAGGCTGCATAAACCAAATTGCTTACTCTCTCAGTGTCCTTTCAATATACTAGTTCTCACTATTTGAGCATCCTATAAAATCTTTCACTTGTTATCTCTCCCTGAATAACTATCCTAATATTTTGTGACCAATTATTATATTATATATATGTAAGTAATCATTATACCTACTGTGCTAAAACAACAATAGTGACAGAGGGTACAGACAAATTCTTATTTGGAGGACAAATTTAACCCTTGTTAAAAGGAACATGTGCCTTTGAAAAAAATGTTGTATTAAACAAGAGAATTCTTCGTTCTTTCCTAATTCTTCTCTGCTTCTATTCCATTCACATTTACCTATAATAGTTTCCTTCCTCTAAGTGACTAAAATGTTATCTTCCCATTCCATTCCCATCAACAAGTCTGTTCTCGCTTACCATGTGGGTTCTGGAGATGAAACTCAAGTTATCAGGCTTGGGGGCAAGTATTCTTATCCAAAGAGCCATCTTGCTGGCACAAGAAGGCCCTTTTAAAAAGAGGTAATGCTTAACTAGTCATCCTAGTTTTTATTTGGATTTCTTTTACTTCTGCTTGAATTATGAACATACTGATTACAACTTCAAAATTCCATATCTAGGGTCTTTGAACTCCAATTTCTTTGAACATTTTACTTTAGGGTCACTTTTGTTTCTTTTCTTTTCTTTTCTTTCTTTCTTTCTTTCTTTCTTTCTTTCTTTCTTTTTTTTGTTTTTTGTTTTGTTTTGTTTTGTTTTGTTTTGTTTTGTTTTGTTTTGTTTTTCAAGACAGGGTTTCTCTGTGTAGCTTTGTGTCTTTCCTGGAACTCACTTGGTAGTCCAGGCTGGCCTCGAACTCACAGAGATCACCTGTCTCTGCCTCCCGAGTGCTGGGACTAAAGGCGTGCGCCACCACTGCCCGGCTTTTGGGTTTTTGTTTCTTTCTTTTTTTGGTTTTTGTAGGGCCACTTTTATAGTCCATGAATTCTCCCTGCTTCTCAAATTCTAATACCATCCCTAAACATTGATGAGTTCAAATTGGATTCATTCCTTAAGTTATCATACTCAAGAAACATAGAGCTCTGTGGGATATGCTATATGGAAGGTAAAAAGAAATTACTAGGAATTTCATATTTTTGTTAACTGCCTTGTAGTTCCTTATGACAAACCTAGAAATAATCCTGTAAATAAATTAAAACCACAGAGTTACTCTGTAAGGTGTTTTCAATAATGTTTAGCTACTGGAGGAGGCTCATCAGCAGAGACATCAGCATATCTTACCTCTTTAAGTCTTAGTTTTCCCGTCTGTGGAATGGGAATAATAACAGTTTCTATCACAGATTGTTGTGAGAAGTCACTAGGATAATTTTTGTAGGAGCACAGCTAGAAGCTCAGAGCCACATTACATTGTTTCCTTTCCTGTGTTCCTGTGGACTCTGATATATGTGCATGGGAACTTGCTGAGTTCATGTGAAATCTTTGATCTATTGAAGTGTTCTTGTTGTTCTGTGGATGAGGTAACACTGAGTCCACATTCTCTGGTTCCTCACATGATACAGTTTCCTCAGTAACCGCTTTGTCATTAGCCTGTCTCCTCCAGACACACTCTAGTTGGCTAAGAGCTCTCATATTGCAGCTGCGGTCTTCCTCACACATCACACTGTTACCATGCTTTGACTTTTTATGTCTATGATGATAGTAGCTACACAGGCGGCTGTGTTTGACCACCCAGCTTCTTACAGCTTTCCATACTACCCAAGGTTGATTGAGGATTTCTTTCTTGTCTCTTCTCCTTAGAAATAGGGTCTTTGTTGTGTAGCCCTCACTGGAAATCCTCCTGTCTCAGCCACCTAAGTGCCAAGAGTACAGGTATGTGCTAGCACTCCTGGCTATAAATTTCTCTACTCTTTATAATAATAAACTATGTATCCCATTTGCTACACTTATGTGTTTGTTCCCTTATTTTTTTTTAACCTGGGTATGGTTCATAACATTTGACAGATAAGGAACTTGGGGCTCAGATAGTACAAATGCCTTGGCCAGAGTCTTAAAGTAATCATAACTTTTTTGTTTTGTTTTGTTTTTTTGTTTTTCGAGACAGAGTTTCTCTGTGTAGCTTTGCGCCTTTCCTGGATCTCACTCTGTAGCCCAGGCTGACCTCGAACTCACAGAGATCCGCCTGCCTCTGCCTCCTGAGTGCTGGGATTAAAGGCGTGAGCCACCACCGCCCGGCATAATTATAACTTATTCTAGACAGGAGGACAATTTCTATTTCTTCTTCCAGACACCATGCTTCTACTTTCACAGCCTTTGCTTCTTGGACGCTTGGTCATTTGTCTAGTCAGTAGTTTATTAAGAGGGTATAGGGCTGTTTTTGGAAATGTCAACTACTACTTATAAAGCTAAAGATATTAAAATGAAAGCTTAATAAAGTAGTATCTTTTCTTTAACTGAGAGATGCTCACTCATTAAATAATTTTCCACTGAATATGTGCAACATATTACCTTGAGAATAAGCTTAGGGCATACAGAGGGGATCAGCAGAGAGGCACTTTTGTAGTTCAGGAAGAGTTGACAATAGTGATAATGGTAGAAGTCAGGGAAAGGGTCAGATTTTATATATTAAAAGGGCAGTAGATTTTACAGATGAGCTTGATATGTGATCTAAGAGAATGAAGTAAAAAAGTATCTCCAAGGAGGGCCAGCAATATGGCTCATCAGGTAGTGGTGCTTGCCACCAAGTCTGATTACCTGAGTTTGACTCCCAGAACCCACAATTTGTCTTCTGACTTCCACACATATGCTATGGCATGCATACATGTACACATACACACTGAATAAATAAGTAAATGTAAAAAAAAATACGTTAAAGAATATCTCCAAGGAGCCAAGCATGGTGTCATAAGTATAATCCCAGCATCAGGAGGCTGACCTAGGAGCATGAGGCTAGGCTACATAGAGCAACTACATTTCAATAAAAATAAACAACAAAAAGACACCTCTCTTAAGTTTTTTCCCCACCTCTCTTATCAACTAGAAAAATGGAATTTCCGTTATTCTAGATGGATAAGGGATTTGAAAGAGAAGTTCTGGGGAAAGGACCAGGACTTTTTGTTTCATATACAAACATATAAAGTTGTAGTTGTGACAAGTGCTAGCCAGTTATTAAAGGGTTCAAGTATGGATATGACATGTCAGGTTTAGATTTGGAAAAAAAACATTCTTTTGATCATTAGTATATATAAAAGATAAGAAGCCCAGCCTGAGGATTTGTAGGTAGAGGCCCTAGTTGCTTTGGGATCTTAAACAAATAATGACATCCTTCTTGAGGTTTAGTTTTCTCACCTTTCAAAAGGGATAACAAATCTTGTCCATCTCAAAAGATTATAAGGGAGCCAAGTCTGGTGGCACAGGCCAGCAATCTAACTACTCAAGAGACTTAGGCAATAGGATTGAGAGGTCAAGGCCAGCTTGTGCTGTAGAATTAAGTTTCAGTCCAACCTGCGTGACTTAATGAGATGCAGTCTCAAAATAAAAAATAAGTAAGAAGGTTAGGGATACAGCTCAGTGGTAGTGTGCTTTTATGTGGGCTCTAGGTTAATCTCCAGTACCATCAACCAAACCAAACCAAACCAAACCAAACCAAACCAAAAGAACTGCTACAAGGATTATCTGAAGTTTAAGATGAATAAACATACTATGACAATTAGAAAATTATCAAATTTATAGAAAAGTTGCAAAGACAATACAAATAACCTTTCCCTGAACAATTTGAGGGTAAGATAAACAAGAACTTTCTCATGCATAACTGTAATATGACTTTCAAAACAAGGAAATCAATATTCATATATCACTTGCCATCTAACCCTTGGACTCCATTGCTGCTTTGTTGAAATTTGTTCCATAAATGTTCTGTATAGCAAGAGGGTTGAGATAAATAGAATTAACATATAACATATAATATTAATATATTATATATGGCTGCTATGTCTTTTTAGTCTCCGACAGTCTAGACTAGTCCTCCAGTCTTTACTTTCTTGGTTTTAAAAGGCTATCTTTCTAGCCGGGCGGTGGTGGCACACACCTTTAATCCCAGCACTCGGGGAGGCAGAGGCAGGCAGATCTCTGTGAGTTCAAGGCCAGCCTGGGCTACCAAGTGAGTTCCAGGAAAGGCGCAAAGCTACACAGAGAAACCCTATCTCGAAAAACAAACAAAAAAAAAAGGTTATCTTTCCAGTCTTAACAGCCAACAAAAGGTAACCTAGATACTAAACTAAAATAAATTGGTTGCTATTTATCTTATACCAATGTATATTCAGTTAGAGATTCTTAAATATGATATCTAGATTTAGTGAACATCTATCCATAAATACTCTATCAGCCTCTAGCAGCAGGTTTTAAACTTTTTGATATTTATAGGTAAGTTTCAGATACTACAGTAACTATTTAGGTGATAAACAAGAAAAATCTGGTCTTTGTCTTTATGGAGCTCACACAATTGTCAGCTGCAAATCTTCTTTAGGAATGAATTGTTAGAATCAATGTGAAATAAGGAAACAAAGAAATGTAAAAAGGGAAATTATTTCAAGGGAGAGTGTGGAGATGTGGAGGGCATGTCTCTAGGAGCAAGCAAATGGCTATACATGTGCTCCCATGACTCTTGAAATGCCAGGGACTATTTTTCTTTTACATTTATTTATTTATTTGGGGTGTGTGTGTGTGTGTGTGTGTGTGTGTGTGTGTGTGTGTGTATGAAAGCCAAAAGACAATTTGTTGAAGGCAGTTCTTTTTTTCCGCCGTGTGGGTTCTGAGAATTGAACTCAGGTTGGCAGCTTGGCAGCAAGCACCCTTACCCACTGAGCCATCTCACCAGCCACCACGGACTATTAAAGTTGACATAGGAGTTCTTCCTTGCTTGATTGAGGTTGTAGGTCTTTCAGGAAATTGTCAAGCAATTGAAAAGATCATGGTAACTGTGGTCTTGGCCACAGTTTGAAGTTCAAAGTAGATGGAAGTGTCCTTAACTTCCCACAATGCTTGTAGAGGATTTCAGGAGAGTGATTTCTCCATGTTCATTTGGTGCAGTGGAGTAAATAGTCTGGAATTCAAAACCTGGGTCTTAGTTACAGGTTTACATTTAATCCCCTGTGTGACCTTGGCAAGCCTCTCCCTCTGGATTTCTTGTAACTTTAAAATGAGAATAGTAATACTTGTTCTACCTACTGCTAGGGTAGTTGTGAGGATCAGGTTAAGGATGACCTTTAAATCGGTTATATACTGTAGTCATGTGAAGAATAAACTGCACCTGTATTGATTTATTCAACATGTGAGCAGGTATGGCATTACTTTTCTTTGTTCTTTATATCAGCTAAGTTTTCCCTCTACCCCATGTAAGCAAGTATTCAATTGCTGTATAAGTTTTATATTCTGGGTCTTCCACGAATGAGCCAACTGTAGAAACTCGGGAACATTTGTTGACCCGACCCCAAATTCTGCTTGTTTCCACCCTCTTCCTTTCTGTGTCGACATATTTTCTGTGAAACTGATTTCGAGAGTTGCTCCCCTACTGGGAAGAAGGAAAAAACCAACAAGTTTAAGATACACTCGAGATTTTCCTATCTAACACCAGCCTTTCCCCTCTTCCAACTCTCTTTTTCCATCTTATATTTCACAGAGAAAAAAAATAGAGCCTTAGTTTGTGCAAATTCGTATATTGAATTAGGGATAAACAGTAAATCTAGGTCTAGTAACTCCATATTAGAACTAGGGGATCCTGCATGTTTACATGCAAAAATAAGCACTTGAAAATCTTGTGAGAAGTTCAGAACCCCATCCCAGACTATTTATTTATTTTTATTTTATATGTATAGGTAGGTGTTTTGCCTGCATGTGTGTATGTGAACCTCATGTGTGCAGTAGCTGTGGAGGCCAGAAGAGAGTTCAGATTCTCTGGAACTAGAGTTACAGATGGTTGTGAGCTGCCATGTAAATGCTGAGAAGAGAACCTGGGTCCTCAGGAAGAGCAGACAGTGCTCTTAACATCTCTCCAATCCTGCCAGCCTATTTAACCAGAATCTCCAGAAAATAAACCTCTGAATCTATTTTTATAAGCTTCTCAAATAGTTGTTATATAGGAAGAGAGTACCCCTGAAAATTCTTTCAGCACTAAGGTAATAGATCAGTTGAAAGCACATACCTAGGATATGTGAGGCATGTCCATAATATGTTTAGGATAGTTATGTCCATACATAACTATGTCCATAATAATGTTT